GCCTAGGACAGCCCTCTTCCTGGATAATGAGCAGGGAAGGGATTTCATTGCCTTGACTAGTAATACCGTCATTTACTTGGTCAATGTTGCCACCATTTTCTTTATTTTCATCTCCTGTGAGGGGAAAAATGTGACTCAGTGAAGTTGTAGCCAGGAGGAAGTCCACATAGAATATCCCTCCGGTACCTTGGCCTGCCCCACTCACCTCGTCCCATTGCCAGGGAAGTATCCTGGGGAGTACAGGACGGTGTCCCCATGTTCTCTCCTGTTGGGGTTCCTGCTGACAACTGTTTGGTGAAATGAACAATGACTTCTCTTAAGGGCATATTCTCAGAAAAGAGGGCTTCCTGTCCCTGCATGTGGACGTGGACCTATAAACAAAGCCTGATTACTGTGAGGAAATAGATCTCATGGAAGACCTGCACTCATCAAGTTTCCCAGGATCCCTCTACTGTGTGCTGCCACACCCACTGCTCTGCTCTCATCTCTGCCGGCCTTAAATTTCATGGTAATTTCTTGCTACTGTGCCTTTCCCAATGAGAAAAGCCTAATACTAAGGCTTTCTGAGGGGAGAGCAAGCTTGTGTTAAGGTACTTCTCCCCATTCTTGAGGTTTCTGCTCTATCGTCAACTTCTTGGTGAGCCTTCCTACCATCTCACTGGCTCTAATCAATTTAGATAGTGGCTCTTATATGTCCTCCTGACTAGATGCCTATAAAACATCTGCTTTCATTTTTGCTTTCTTAGCAATGGTAAAGCGTCTCTTTGGTGAGAACTAGTAAGTGGGTCTACAATGACTCTCCTGTCTCTACTTCCAGGCAACTCCAACAGGTTGTACTTAATCCTTACACACCTCTGCCCCTCACCCCAGGAGTCAAAACCCTTTACTCACTAATCCAGGTGGTTTCATGCCATCGTCAGTTAGATTTTCCATGAATTTCTCCATGTTTCTGCCACTTGTATTCCATTTCTCTTTCAACATGGACCTGTCACTGCAGTGGCCATTGATCATAAACTGTTCCAGGACCAAACGAGAAATAATTTCATCCTTGCTGTGTTTTTCTGGCTGCAGCCATGAGTGAAATAAGTTGTAGAGATTTTGCAGTTCCTCCCTTGCACATGAGTTATTACTGTTTTGAAATAAACTGAGCTGAGTGCTGGGGAACTCATAGATCTCTTCCCCCTGAATGGCTGGTCCTTGGCTGGGCTTATGCTCTAGGTTTTCTGACCCAGGGACATTCCTAGATGGTTCTCCCTGACATGAAATTCTGAGATCTAAAGCCATTCTTAACAAGAATTCTCAGAGAGATTCAACTTTGGATGTTCAATTCGTACTGACTTGTTTCTCTGAAGATCTGTTTCACCAACTGGTAGATACTTGAAGAGTGCCAGCTAGAAATAGAAGAGGTATACAATTAATTTCAGCACCGCCATAATTAAAAAAAAATTCAGTTTCAGAGGAGTTTATGGATGAATTCTACTAGACATTTAAGAGAGAAAGAAGTCTAATCCTACACAGACTCTCCCAGAGCATAAAAAAGTGACAACAGTCCCCTTTTAGTTAATAAGTTCAGCAGCTCCCTGATAACAAAATTTTACAAGTGCATGAAAGAAAACTACACTACAGATCAGGATATCTCACGGAAAACAAAGTTTGTAAATCAAATTCAGTGACATATAAAGAGAATAATAGATCACAAAACAAGTGGGGTTAACTTTCTAAATGAAAAGTTGGGTTAAACTAAAAAAATATTGATGTAACTTACCACATGAATAGAATTTAGGAAAATACAATATAATCATCTTCTTGGGTACATTAAAAGTGCTTCATAAAAGTCAGTGCTCATTACCAAAAAAGACATTTAGTAAGCTAGGAAGGAAGAGAACATCCCTGATATCATAAAGTTCTACAAAATACAGCAAAAATTATCCTTAAAAGTTTTTTCCTTGAAATTGAGAGGTGGAGGGCCACTTTCAACTCTATGCAACATTGGAATACTCTTTTTCCGGTAAAAAAGGCAAGAAAATGTATCAAATATCATTATTTATACATTTCCTGATTTTGTTTCCAACAAAGGATCAAATATTCTACAAATCTTAGACAAATTTTTGCAAAATGAATTTTTGCAGAATGTCTGATACAAGACCAATTTACCAAAATCGATTGGATTGTATAATAACACAAGCAGCTTAAAATAAACAAATAAACCTCAATGATATATATTACCATTAAACATGAAATATCGAAGAAAAACTCCAGTGAAAATGTACAAGTCCTCTACAGAAATACACAATATCAATAAATATCATAGGCATAAAGGACGACTATGTTCACGGATGGCAAGACCCAATTCCAATTGGGAAACATCAATTATCCCCAAGTTTCTCTGTGAACTCAATGCTATACCATTGGAAATCCAGCAAGTGGCTTGTGTTTGTGTGTATGTGTGAGAAAATTGACAGCTGATTCTAAAATTAGACATAAACAGGCTAAAAATAGCCCAGACAATTCTGAAGACTAATAATATTTCAGGATTTACATAACCACAAAACAAAACTGATTATGAGATTATATTCATTAAGACCGTGATCATGGCACAAAGATAGACAGATAAGGAAACAGAACAGAATGTTCTCCTGATATGATCGACATCTATACTGTCACTTGCTTTCTATACAACATGACACTGAAATGCATGTGCAGAGAGGAAAGCCTTTTTTTTCTTCAATAAATGGTGTTAGGTCAACTGAATATTCAGAAAGGGGAAAATTAATCCTGACCCCCGTCCTACCCCATTTACAAAAATTAGTTCTAGATGAGTTTTTTAAATCTCTGAAATGTAAAATAAAGCTTCTAGAAGACCACCTGGAAGAATATATTTAAGAACCTGTAGTAAAAAAATATTTTTAATACAATACAGTAAGAACTCAGCAGGAAAGCTTGGGATTCTCTCTCTTCCTCTCCCTCTGCCCCTCCCCAGCTCACACACATGCTTTCTCTAAAAAACAAATAAACTTAAAAAAAAAAAAAAACTACAATAACACTCTAAGAAATATCTGCCAGAATGAGAAAAATCATTCTGTCAGCATGGACTGGAATGCCTAGAAGTCTCAATCTCTACTGGTGAGTACTCACTGTGGACATGTTTTGACTGGTACCTACAAAATGTGCATTTATGTATTCTCCATGATATAGCTCACCAGTATTACTCCAGGGCATATATTCAACAGAAAAATCTACTCGTGTGCATCAAAGACATATATGAGAGTGTTTATGTCATCATAATTCACAATATTCCCATGTTGTAAACAATCTAAGTGTCCAACATTAAAGAGGATAGAGGGGTGCCTGGGTGGCGCAGTCGGTTAAGCGTCCGACTTCAGCCAGGTCACGATCTCGCGGTCCGTGAGTTCGAGCCCCGCGTCAGGCTCTGGGCTGATGGCTCGGAGCCTGGAGCCTGTTTCCGATTCTGTGTCTCCCTCTCTCTCTGCCCCTCCCCCGTTCATGCTCTGTCTCTCTCTGTCCCAAAAATAAATAAACGTTGAAAAAAAAATTAAAAAAAAAAAGAGGATAAATTATCATTAAATCACAGAGTTATATTTGATAGCGATGTAAATGAATGCAACAGAATAACCACAACCATAATGTTGAATGAAATAATGCAGAAATGAAAAAATTCATTTTGTTTATTCCCATTTATGTTATTTCAAAAGCATACAAGGGGTGCCTAGCTGGCTCAGTCAGTAGAGTATGAAGCCCTTGATCTCAGGGTCATGAGTTCAAGCCCCACATTGAGTGTAGAGTTTACTTTCAAAAACAAAACAAAACAAAACAAAACAATTGGTGCCCTGGGTGGCTCAGTGGGTTAAGCTGCCAATTTCGGCTCAGGTCACGATCTCACAGTTTGTGGGTTCAAGCGCTGCATCAGGCTGTGTGCTGACAGCTCAGAGCCTGGAGCCTGCTTTGGATTCTGTGTCTCCCTCTCTCACTGCTCCTCTCCTGCTTGCACTCTGCCTCTCTCTCACTCTCTCAAAAATAAATAAACATTAAAAAAAACAAACCACAAAGGGCGCCTGGTTGGCTCAGTCGGTTTAAGCATCCAGCTTGGGCTCAGGTCATGATCTCACGGTTTGTGAGTTCAAACCCGGTGTCTGGCTCTGCACTTGGAGTGCAGAGCCTGCTTGGGATTCTTTCTCTTTCTCCTTCTTTGTCTGCATCTTCCCTGCTCTCTCTCTCTCTCTCTCAAAAATAAATAAATAAACTAAAAACAAAACAAAAAAAGCATAATACTATCAATATTATTTAGGATGTCGGTTACTTTGGGGAACCACAGTAGATACTGGGATAGGTACACACATGGAGGGCTGCATAGGAGGACCCCATCCCAGAACTAAACAGAATTGTGAGATGTTCTACTCGCAGTTTCCGCTGGCAGTATTCCACCTCTTGGTCTGTTTTGTTTTTTTTTTTTTTTTTTTTTTTTTTTTTTTTTTAAGTAGGCTCCAAACCCTACTTGGGGCTTGAACTCATGACCCTGAAATTAGGGTCACACATTCTATCGACTGCACCAGGCAGGCGCCCCTCCACCTCTTGATCTTGGAGGTCGTTTATGCAGGAGAGTTTCTCTGTAAAAATCCGCCAAGCTATCTACTTCCGCTTTTTCATTTTTCTGTATGTGCATTATACTTCAATAAAAATGTTCAATTTTAGGGGCACCTGGACGGCTCAGTCAGTTAAGCATTCGACCTGATTTTGGCTCAGGTCATGATCTCATGGTTTGTGGGATCGATCCCTCCTCGGGCTCTACACTGACAGCACAGAGCCTGCTTGGGATTCTCTCCCTCCCTCTCTCTCTGCTCCTTCTCTGCCTGTTCTCTCTCTCTCTCTCAGAATAAATAACAAAATATTAGAAAAAGTTGAGAATAAGGCGAATGAAATAGAAGAGATAGGAATCCATACAAATGATCTCATCCCGTGTTGGAAACTCCTCTTACATCAGACACAGACATTTGCACAACCCACTCACCCACCCTCTCCACCTCCTTCCCTCCAGGTATCCCCTCTGTGTCAGGCCAAAGATACATTCCTTAGGAAACTTTCTCTTTACTGGTTTTTTTCCCTATCAATGATTCCCCTTCCTTATGAAAAACATTCCTTCCTTCACTGCTTTTCTCAGAGCTACAATTTTTTTTTTTCAACGTTTATTTATTTTTGGGACAGAGAGAGACAGAGCATGAACGGGGGAGGGGCAGAGAGAGAGGGAGACACAGAATCGGAAACAGGCTCCAGGCTCCGAGCCATCAGCCCAGAGCCCGACGCGGGGCTCGAACTCCCAGACCGCGAGATCGTGACCTGGCTGAAGTTGGACGCTCAACCGACTGTGCCACCCAGGCGCCCCTCTATTTCTGATTCCTGTTCTCTTCCACCCAAGGTAGGATCCAGCAGAGATGAAATTGAGTTTGCATTTCTCTATATTGATTTCTGGCTACAAATCACATTATCTGGGTAACTGTAGCCACACCATTGGGAAATGAATGAAAGATTTAATTCTACGTCCATATTATTGCTCTATTTTTGTGTCCTCCCATTTTATGGATAGTTAAAATTTCAAAGACTTGTATTTTTATATTTTTTAAAAAGTTTACTTATTTATTTTGAGAGAGACAGAGACAGTGCAGGTGAGGGAGGGGCAGAGAGAGGGGAAGAGAGAGAGAATCCCAAGCAGGCTCTGTGCTGCCAGCTCAGAGCTCAATCTCACAAAACCTTGAGATCATCACCGGAAAGGAAGTCGGACGCTTAACCGACCAGGCAACCAGTCCGACCAGTCGGACGCTTAGCCACCAGGCGACCCCCCCCCCCAAATTTGTATTTTTTTAAAACAGCAAATTTCACGCCACAAATTCAGAAAATGAGTGGTAGGGTTGGTATGTGGGCACACACAGACCTGATTAATTACTGTTCGTTGATGCCATTTTGTGCTTTTGTGTCAAGCTCTAATCAGACTAGCCACCCTGATCCTGTCAGTTAATGAGGCCAAGAGGATTCTGGGGAAAACCCCATAGAACGGTGAATACATTCTTGTCTTTTCTTAATCCGTTTATCACAAAGCTTCTAGTCAACTTTTATTAAATGCCCATATGCTCAGGTCACACTCCACCTGACTCCTTCTATGCCTACCTGTTGCATTCAGGAAAAGTACCAAGTCCTTCCTGGTCTCAGGAGGCCTTGCCTGGGCCATCTCACCCTCCAGCACCACCTTAGGTGTGGTGGCTGGTTCTCTGTAC